GGCCATGGAGAGAGTTGTGCTAACTCAATGTTATAATTAGAGGAGACCTTAGAATTACATCAGGTCTGCAGAGGCAGTAAAGAATACAGTTTTGTCCATATGTATTGTCTTTCATTTTTGATCAATTTGAACACTAAGCCTAAATAAATAAGGAATTGGGTACATCTATTTCCCACATATCAACTCTGTCTTTTACCATGCTTTGTTTCTGTTTTATAAAGTTGGAAGAAAAAGTATATCATTTACTGTAAAAAAAAAAAAAAAAAAAAAAAGCAGAGTTGAACTCCTGACTTTTCTAAACAAGATACTGAGGCATACAAAAAACCTTCAAAGATCTTATCAAAAAAGCAAGTAAATAATCATAAAAAGTGTGCATTGTATTCAGGGTGACTATTTCTTTGAATAAAGTATTTTCTACTGTTTGGTGGGGGACTCCTATTACTACAGACCATAAATAAGAATTGGCAAACTTGGCGAAAAAATACTAGTTGTTTTCTCAAAAAGGAGCAAGGTGTTGGAAAACAAGAATGACAAGAACATATTGAGGGAACTGGAATATTATTTTAAGTATATTCCAAAATATTAAGATGAATCAAAGTAATTATTGCCAAAGGTGAATCACCATTTTTAAAACAGTGAATGGGCCTTATCAGTAAAGGAATATTTTTACTCCCATCCAGCAGCTGTGCTGTTGCCTGTAGTGTCAGAGAGCTGGCCCCTATTATGGTTAGTCAAGCAGGTAGTGTAGCACTAGGGGAAATTATCACAGAAGGTAAAAGTCATTGTATACCATCCCGGTTTGATCTGGCTTTAGCTGAGATGGGCAGATTGATGCCTAATATTTTTGCCTTATCAAATCCTGAGGCTAAAAGGAAAATAGGAGGTATTTAATCCAACTCCCCAACTGATGTTTTATTTCCCTTTACATTATCATGGCCAGTAGGTAGCCATGCACAATGAAACTTTTTTGAATGCCTTAAGTAACAGGGAATGTAATATCATACAAGGCCACCTTGCCTCAGTCAGTCATCATTCAAGTTCCTTCTAAATGAAACATATACAGAGAGTAGACTTAAAATCCCCTTGCTCTCTCTTGTTCATTATCTAAGTGGTCATGAGATATAATTGTCCTCTTAAAAACTATATTTTATTTAACAAAATTATATTTTATTATGGAAAAGCATCTCCCTTTCTTACTAAAATTCAGATTACTGGAAAAGAAAAGCCCTAGGAAGTCATTTTGCTTCTGGTTAGAGATTGAGCATTTGTGTACAAAATTAATTAGGCTCATTGTAACCCACCTGGAAGGGTTGAAAAATACAATTCTCAGCAGGGAGCATTGTAGGAATAAAGACTGTCTCAGTGACTGGATTATAGATGCCTTGGCTCTTATTATTTTCTGTTATAGAACCCTATCGGTTTGATTTTTTTGTTCTTGTTCAATGACTGCTACTTAAAATATCAACTAGAAAGGTAATCTCCAGAACGGTGCTTTTATTGTTTGAAACTCAGAAAAACAGCAATATGATCTTTCAGCCTGTGTGTGTTGCAAAAGCTAGGTCACTTTCTTGGGCTTGAAGGTCAGTTTCTCTTTATGTTAAATTCCTGTCTTTAAATGAAGAAAAGCATGGAAAGGAAGCCGAAGCTTTGACCCACAGAGACAACCTGTGCAGTTAACCAGTGGACCCAGCTCTGGTTTAAATTGAGTATCCAGACATCACAATTTGCTCCTTTTCTAAAAGATTCTTAAACACAAAGAGAAAATGAGGACAGAAAGGTAACAGTAGATACAGCAACAAAGATACATACAGGCACAAGAAGCCTGGTAGGGCAAGTTTCTGGAAGCTAATTTGCCCTATTATCCTACAGGAAGCAAGGTTGCCTGTCTACTGAAAGGACACAAAATGAACTGTGTGGGAGAAATGAGAGACATCCGCCACAACATTCAAAATGAATAAGAGAATACAAAAAGTGAATGGAGAAAAGGCTGACTGAGTAGAGGGGGAGAAAACAATCAACACTTATTTTGCAAAGGACAAATATCAACTTCAGAGTGGAAAATACTGAAAGTATTTTATTGATGGGATCATTATGGTCTACTGCATTGAGGATGTTCATGTCATCCAGTATTAATTTGGAGAACTATATCATGAGTTTAGTTCAAAAACATTGGTATGCTTACTCTATGCACTGGTCACTGGTTTTCATGCTGGAAATATAAAGGAAACTAATGCATAGTCACTACCCTAGAGTAAATTGTATTCTGGAGACTATCAGACCATATACAGTTAATTTCAACTTAATGTGTTAAATGCTGTAACAGCACCAGAATGGGAATTCAGGCCAGACTAAGGGATCAAGGAAGATTTTCCAGAAGAGATAATGCTTGAATTGCCTTTCATCTAGATCAAAGCTCAACCCTATTTAGCTCTGTGCTATAGGGCAACAGGCATAATCCCTCTGAGCATGCTTCCTCATTAATTAAAAATGGGCACAATAATACCAATCTCACAGGTTTGTTATGAGGATTAAAAGATTAAACACAAGAAGTGCCTTGAACTCTACTTTGTATGTTATATTGGAAATGTTTGATAAATCTCTTTCCTCCTGCTCCCTATAAAATGTTAGTGCTGGAAGGAGCTTGAGGTATGAATGAGATTTTATAAATGAGAAAGGCATGGGCACAGATCTTGGACGATTTGCCCAAGGTCATACCAGTCAGCCACAGAGCAAGGTCTTCTCACTCCTAGCTTAGGACTAACTCCACAATACCCACTGTATTATTTCCATATATTAGTATGATGATTAATGATAGGAATCACTCCACAGGAAAACATATGCAACATAAATATGGAGACACTGAAAAAAAAGAGAGAGCCTATAAAAGTAAAATCTGTGCAACAGTTCAGCAATAGATTTTAAAACCAACTTAAAAAGAAACTTAAGTCAGAAAAAAAAATCAAGTGAATGTAAAATCATACACTAAAATAACATAACCGAACAATATTTAAGATTTAACTGAGTCATTTTAAACAACTTTGGATATGAATGAAACCAGTGTGAGTGGGCAATAAACATGTTAACATTAAAATTCTACATTTTTTTTTAAAGATTCCTTAAATTGTTTACATGAAAAGCAGATATTAAAATTTTCATCTGGGCTGGGCGCGGTGGCTCACGTTTGTAATCCCAGCACTTTGGGAGGCCGAGGTGGGTGGATCACAAGGTCAAGAGATCGAGACCATCCTGGTCAACATGGTGAAACCCCGTCTCTACTAAAAATACAAAAAAAAATTAGCTGGGCGTGGTGGCGCATGCCTGTAATCCCAGCTACTCGGGAGGCTGAGGCAGGAGAATTGCCTGAACCCAGGAGGCGGAGGTTGCGGTGAGCTGAGATCGCGCCATTGCACTCCAGCCTGGGTAATAAGAGCGAAACTCCATCTCAAAAAAAAAAAAAAAAATTTCATCTGGTGAAACCGAATAAAAACTCTAAAATCATTGAGTCCAATTTTTGAGTGTTTAGAGTTCATCTCATTCAGGGTTTCTCAGCTTGGCACTGTTTATATTCTGGACTAACAGGGTTTTTTTGTTTTGTTTTTGTTTGTTTAGGCGTGTTTTTTTTTGTTTGTTTGTTTGTTTGTTTTTTGAGGTGGAGTTTCGCTCTGTCACTCAGGCTGGAGTGCAGTGGCATGATCTCAGCTCACTGCAACCTCTGCCTCCCGGGTTCAAGCAGTTCTCTGCCTCAGTCTCCCAAGTAATTGGGACAACAGGCACCCACTACGCCCAGCTAATTTTTGTGTTTTCAGTAGAGACGGGGTTTCACCATCTTGGCCAGGCTGGTCGTGAACTCCTAATCTCTTGATCCACCCACCTTGGCCTCCCAACGTGCTGGAATTACAGGCATAAGCCACTGTGCCCAGCCTGAACTGACAGTTTTTTTACTTCTTTGTTGGTAGGCTGTAACGTGGAATTATGCATGCAGCAGCTTCCATAGACTCCACCCAAAAATGTCAGTAGCAACCTACCCACACCTAAGTTGTAATAACTGAAAACTTTTTCAAGCATTTCCAGATGTCCCCTGCAGGACAAAATCACCCCAGCTGAAAACCACTGATCTAGCTGAATGCTCTATCCACTGCAGGAATTCATCATTTTTCAAAATTTTTGAAAGATAGTCAAATTCTGACCAATTCCAGGATTAGAAAAAGCCTCTAATTATAAGGCGTTCAATCTCCTATCTGAACAGCCCTAACCATTTGAAACATTATACTCAGATAAAATCTGCTCTTGTATATTTTTCTACTAACCATATACATTTTTCCCTCTAAAGAAACATCCAGAACATTCAATCCCTTTTATTCTTTAAAATATGTGAAGGCAATCATCATGTTTCCTTTAATTTTCTCTACCCTAAACATTTTTCCAATTTCTTTAACCCATACTCTTGTCAAATGCTTTCTGGATTTCTTGTTATTTTTGTCTTCATCTTCTGGGTGCTATTTTGCCAGTACTCCTCACACCAGTGTTAGTTTCATTACCCCATCATTGCAGATAAGAGAATTGAGAACCACAGTGGTTATCTGGTTTGCTCAAGTCCACATCAATAGTTAGTAAGGGCTGGGACTAAGGCTGGGTCTTTTAATTCTCAGTTAAGGACTTTTGACTATACACATAGCCACTTATACTCAAACAGGCAAGCAGGCAAGGGTTGCTGAATGTAGGAGGAGTTGTTCCTCTTTTTAATCATTGGTTCACCCTGGACCAGAAGTTACTCCAAAATCAACAGGAAAGTGGCAGTGAAGGAGTAGCACACATCCTCCGTTAATATTCTTTCAGAATATTTAACACCTCCCATGGGAGTCAAGCTACTTCAAGAAATCACATAAACTTAATCTGTTCAATTTCTTCATCTCTAAATTAGATATAATAGTGGCACTTGCTTCTTAGTGTGGTGTGAAGAGTAAATAAATGTTAAGTAAATGTTGTTATTTTTCTCCCAGCAACTACACTGTGTGCCATGGGCATACTGAATAAAGAATCAGTGTGATGGAAGACAAAGGGCTGAAGAACCAGTCAAAAGAAAAAATGAGGTATACGTACAAAATACAAAAGCATATTTCAGTAAGTCCAGCCTTGAGATATGCCAGTTTCCCTGGGTAGCACATCCTGGGTATAACCAAGTCTGCTTTTATACAGTTGTCAAGGAAAAGCTAGAAATTCAGAAAATTTAAAAATTATAATGGGAGTCACACATTAGTAAATAGTCATTTCTATTGCTTTTGTTTTCTCAAACCCTTTTGCTGTTGTTTTATTTCTGTGTGGTTTTTTTGTTTGTTTGTTTGTTTTTTTGAAGGAATAAGTTTTCTTTGATGGGTGGCAGAGGGACAATTTCCCTTAACCCACATAAGAAAACAAAGACAAATAGCCTTTGCTCAGAACCAGTTCATTTTATCTCTGACTTGGGAAGCTTCTTCGTGCAACTGATTGGATTTGCAAAGTGTGATTCTATTCTGGAGGATCATTGATTACTATTTTTAAGCTGGTTTGCTCCATTTCATGTGTTAACGTATTTATGTGGAAGGTTTTCCAGAGTGAGTCTTCCCTTCTCCTCAACATACGAAAATATTTTTGTTCTTTAGTGGGATAAAATTGGTCTGTGTGTGAATCTCTTAAGACAACCTGGACCAAACTACCTCTTGAAGTTTTCTTTAGGGACCCTCTTTGCTTTTGTACACTGCCTTGTTTTAAAGCCTCCATTATGTTATGAATGCAACTCTTGATTACTCCACCTTAATAGGCTATTTCCCTGCTGTCACCTTCTGCACAGGAGGCCTGCATGAAAGCCAGGCATAGCTTCAGGAAGGAATGTGCAAGAATCACCTGGTGCCAAGTCATTATTTTTCACACTGTGCCATGCTGTTGAGGAACAGACCTTTGCCACTTAACCCCAGGCCTTGGTGGTTCTTAATTAGGTTGCCCAATTTGCTTCTAGTACTGGAGGCCTTTGAAGTTACTGACAGCATGGTCTCTGATGCACTTGGAAAGTAACACTGGTGAGATGTGGCTTGTTTGACAGGCTGGGTTCCTACATACTGGAACTATAATAGCACATGTGTCTGTACACATTGGGCATAAGTCAAAGGACAGAGAGGTATATCAAAGTACTAGATATGTGTACAATATTAGCTGCCCATTGTAAAACTTCCTTCTGATCCTGGGGGAATCCCATGTTACTGGAGTCTTGGCAGGAAACAGGGTCCTGATCCCTGACCCTGACAGTTAGGGCACAGACATATGGCCTAGAATCAACCAATGAGGTGTTCCTGCTCAGGACTTAAAACCTGGAAAACATGCCACCAATACATATATTGTTCACAGCAAAGGCAACAGAGTGGAAAAATCAGCCACAAGGATAAGCAACATTCTAGGGCAGCAAAGCCTACTATGATACTTCGGATCTTTCCTGTGCCCTGACCTTGACTGGGTTTTTCTGTTGCTTAGAATAACTCAACTATGCTTCCAGCTTCCTTCTATCAATTTTGTGAATTATTCAATAGTCTCCAAATAAAAACCCAGCATCGTTTCACCTCTGACTGTCTGTGTGACCTTGGACAAGTCATTTCAGCCATGACCATTGGCAGATGAAAAGAATAGAAGCACTTGCCTCTATGTTCAGTTGAAATAATTAAATGAGAAACAGTAAGTTGCTTACACGATGGCTGAGACATAGTAAATGCCAAATGAATGTTACCAATCCTACTTTTTTATTACTAAATTTATGAATGTGTATTTGTATATGAGTTTATTTAATCAACATATCTAAGCTAAAGACTCTTTAGAAATAAGATCATACATCTCTTAAATTTATTTATACATTCAGTTAGCCCACAAACATTTATCTGAGAAATTGTCAGGCACTTTGGAAGGAAAGAAAAGGTAGTCAAAAAATCAACACAGTTTCATTCCTCAAGGCAAAATAGCAGTTCAAAAAAACCTTACATATCAACGCAGGCTAGGAAGCAAGGAGTGTACTGTCGGAGAGTGCAAAGCAGAAGGGCATAACTTAACCATGTAAAATCAGTCTCAAGGCAGAAGGGGAACACTGAACTGGAATCCGAAAAATGAGTAAGAGTTAATTAGCAAAGACTGACAAAATGAGCATTCTGGGCAAAAGTAACCGCAGAACTAAAGGCGCTGTGGCAGGAAAAAACATGGCATGTTAAAGGACAAGGGACAAGGAACTCTGAAGTACTGAGAAGAGAGTAGTGCAGCAGGGGGCTTGGGGTGCTGGCCCTGCAGATGACATCAGTGTATTTGAAATATCCTAAGAATGATGAGAAAGTATTAAAAAATCCAAGAAGGGTCATTGCCAAAGCAAAAATCCATTAGGCTTTAAACTTTTGAGTTGGTGCTGGAACAAGTTAAGACTTTTGGAAACTATAAGGATGAAATGATTGTATTTTGTATGTGAGAAGAAGAATGTGTGATTTAAAAGATCAGGCATGGACTGCTATACTATGAATATTTGTTGCCCACAAACCTCATGTTGAAACTTGATCCCCAATATCAAGATGAGGCCAAATTAAGGGTGTTTGGGTCATAAGGGTAGATCCCTCATGAGTGGTTTGGTACTGTCTTCATGTTAATGAGTGAGTACTTGCTCTGTTAGTTCCTGTGAGAGCTGGTTGTAAAAAGAGCCTGCCACCTACCACCCCTACCTTGCCTCTTCTTTTGCCATGTGAGCTCTGGGCACACCAGCTCTTCATCACCTTCCTCTATGAGTGGAAGCAGCCTGAAGCCCTCACCTGAGCAGATGCTGGCACCATGTTTCTTGTGCAGCCTGCAGAACTGTAAGCCAAATTAATATCTTTTTTTAATAAGTTACCCAGTCTCAGGTTTTCCTTTATAGCAACACAAATGAACTAAAACAGTCATCCAATAGTTTTGCTTTATGAAATGTTCACTCTGGCTACAGTCTGAAGAATGGATTGGAAGGAACAATAAATGGTTATAGGGAAGCTACTTAGAAGGCTCCTACAGGAATCCAGATTTAAGACACTGGTTGATTGAATTAGGTACTAGAGATGGAGATGAGGAGAATTGTATAAATTGAGGTATTCAAGTTGACCAGATTTTGGGTGGGTTGGCTATTGGAGTAAAGAAGTAGGTGGCATACAACCCTCATTTCCCCAAAGTTTCCCTCCGAGTTTTCAAAACGGAGGCCTGGTGTGCTTGAATAGAAACTGAGTATGTTTCTTTTTTTTTTTTCTGCCCACCCTCCCCAAAACTGAGTACGTTTCATGCTCAGATAACTTCTCATACAACAATACAAAAATACTCCTAAGACATTCATCGGCAGAGTGCTTTAACATTTACGAAGTATATTCATATTCACTTTTTTACTTCATTTTTACTGAGGCAAAAGAGAGGTAAATAATGCTTTGTTTCTAGATGGCAAATCTAATATGTCCCGGAACTGGGATCCGGGCCCACATTCTCTGCTTCATATATTCTGTTCCACACAGGAAGAATTTTTTTCCTATCTGAGTAACTCAAAGAATGCAAACAGACTTCTTCAACAGATTTGCTTTCACAAATACCTGTTTTTTTTATTGAATATCACATTTAATGAACATCTATGTTTTCCGTGATTCATCAAATTTACTGATATTACAGACTTGCTAGCTTAAATTCTTACATTGTATCTGCAATGTTAAGGGAAAAAAAAATAACCTGAAATGGCAGTTTTCTCAATGAAACTTAGACAATTAGGTTCAGTTATATGTAAGAAATTAAAACAAAAGTTTTCCATAAAGGCAGTAAATAACAGAACAACTTTGGAATCATAAAAATCCAAGGGAATTCTAGTTCTCCCAATTTCTAGTAGCCAAGTGATGTAGAGCAATTCTCTGAGCTTTTTTTTAAATTTGCAAAATTTATATAGCCAACTTAAGTTTGATTACATAGCTATATCTTGCTACGGTAGCTGCAGAAGACTAAGCTCTCAATAAATGGTAGATAAAATGAGGGCTGACACCTCCTGTGGGACCATTGTGTAATTAAAAAATGATTATCACATAATCGAAGGGCAAGTAAAGGATGAGACTTAACATATCATACTGTCATTTCTGAGGAATTTGGGGGTAGTTTCAGGGTCAGCTTATGAATCTGAGAAAAAAGCCTAGATGTTCCTGAGTGAAGCAGAGTTACTGATTAACACTTTCCTTTCTTTATGTGTTAATTATTAATTAGTACTATATTGGAGACACAGAGCCAGAATCCCCAGTCCACCTAAACTAATTTTATCACCACAAATTAACCTCTAAACTGAATAGTCCACACAGAGATCAAGAGGTCATCTAGGGCAAGTCTGGCTCTTTTAGAGTGATACAATGTTAACATAGACTTTCAGATCTATGAGGAAATAAAATGGTCCTCATAATTTGAAAAAAAAATAGGGTATCCACTTCATTTCTAGACATTGTTGTCATTTTGAGATTCTGGTGATTACTAATTTTTAAGGCTCTAACACAACAATCCTGCCACTGATAACTATAATTAATCAAAGAATAAATAAAAATCCTAGAATCACTACCTCTCTTATATTCATTATCTAGGAAATATAGAGATACAGCAACACATACAACTGGAGTGTTGAATTTTCTTATACAACTCAGAATCCAAGACTGCAAGATGTATTAACAAATGCATTTCCACAAAATATTTAATGAGTATGTAATATACCAAAAATTATACTAAGCATTCTTGATATATGTAAATTGATAAGATACTATCTTTACCATCAAGGAGTTCCTGGTATAAAGGGTGAAACAGAGATATGGGAGGAAATTTTTGTAAACTGTGCATCTGACAAAGGTCTAATATCTGGCATCTACAAGGAATTTAAACATATTTACAAGAAAAAGACAAACAACCTCATTAAAAAGCGGGCAAATGACATAAAGAGACACTTTTCAGAAGAAGGCACATATGCATCAACAGATATATGAAAAAGAGTTCAATATCACTGACCATTAGAGAAATGCAAGTCAAAACTACAAAGAGATATCATCTCACACTAGTTAGAATG